GAGTGCCTTTGTATCTGGCTTTTTTTCAGCAAGGTGTCACTAACGCTCATGGTTATTGTTGCATGCATTGCATCCATAATTGATTTTTCTTTATTGATGAGTAACATTCTCTTCTACGATGCTAACTCCATTATGTATCTGTTCACTTGTTGGGCTTTCCCCTCTTTCTATACCTTAAGTAAAGCTGTTATGAATGCTCTTGCTCAAATCTGACTGAGTGCACAGATTGAGCACATAGGCTTTCATCTCTTGGGTAAATGCAGAGTAGAATTGCTGAGTCACACTGCATACAAAAGTCTAGCTTATGGGATAATGTTAGAGTTCTACAGTGACTTTGCCATTCTGTACTCCAGTCATTAATCTATGACAGCCATCACTGTTCCAAGTCCCAGAAGTTCCTATCATTGGTCTGTTTAAATGCCAAGCATTGTGTGTGTGTGTGTGTGTGTGTGTGTGATCATATAGCAGTTTTATTTTGATATTGCATTCATGATTAGTGCTACTGCTCCCTCCTTCTCATGTGATATTAGCCATTCCTAGATATTCAACTGCTGTTTATCTTGGTACTCTTTTTAAAACTTAGGGACACCCAGGTATAGTGGTGCACACCAGAAATACCAACACTTCAGAAATGGAGGCAAATTTTTCTCCACAGGCTAAGATCCAGTCTGAAAAGAAAAAAATTAGAGCCCTTTCTGTGGTTGAGGGTTGAGAAGTTCTTTACTTTTTTAGATCCAAGGACTTGACAGGTGTATGTTTTGTGAATATTTTTACTTAGTTAGATGTCCCACTTAGAATGATTCATACATACATAACACATATATATATCTGTAAATATAATATCTTTTTGTTGACATTGTCGTACATGTGTATAATATATTCTGACCCCTCTTTCCCTATCTCTCGTATTCTCCATTACTCTCTCCCCACCCCATTAGTTTCCCCATGTTAGTGATTTTTTTGGTTTTGTTTTTTTATCAGTTTAGTTTAACTAGGGTTGTCTGTGTGACCACAGGACTGGAAGTATCCACTGGAGCCCGGTGGCTGGTGGGGTCATTGGCTGGTACTCAACAGGAGGCATGGTTTCCTTGCTTTATGAAACTATAAATCATACTATTTATTAGAGGAAACTATAAATCATACTATTTATATTTTAAATTTTGGTAAAGTCTAATGTATCAGAATTTCCCCTGTAATTAATGTTTTTCTCATTCTGAAGAAATCTATGTCTACCTCAAGGTTGCAAAGATATTCTCCTGTGATTTACTCTGGCAGTTTTATTGGTGGTTTATGCTAATATGTGATTCATACTGAATTAATTTTTTTGTGTATGATGTGAGGCATGAGTTGTTCACATTTTCCTACATTGTAGATATTTATCTGTTCCAGTCTCGTTTACCAAAAAAAGAAAGAAAGAAAGAAGGGAAGAAAGAAAAAGAAAGAAAAGAAAACAAAAACTAAATTATTCTTTTCCTTAACTGCGTTGCTTAAGTTCTGGCTTAGTTAGGGGCTCTTTGTATTGCTGTGGTGAAACACCATGGTCAAAAGCAAATTAGGGAGGAAAGAGTTTATTTTGCGTTCACTGCCATATCACAGTTCGTGGGTGAATGAAGTCAGGGTAGGAACTCATGGCAGAAACCTGGAGGCAGGGCTGATGCTGCGTACTGGTTTGCTCCTTATAGCTTGCTCATCTGGCTTTCTTATAGAACCCAGGGCCACCAACCCAGGGATGGCACCACTCCCAATGCCCCCTCCAACATCCATCAGTAATTAAGAGAATGCCCTGCAGGCTTGCTTGCAGCCGGATTTTATGGTGGCATTTCTTAAGTGTGATTTCCTCTTCTCTAGCTTGTGTCAAGTTGGTGTTAAAAAACAAAAGAACAAACAAACAACAAACAAAAAACCCCAAAATCAAAGAAATGATTCCTGATGATATTCTGCTATACTTGTAGATCAGTGCCTGGCCCAGTCTTCATCAATGAGGCTTCCTCCTGCAGCAAATGACAGTGGCAGCGGAGACCCACAGCCGGACATTATGTGGAGGAAAGAGTCGAAATTGGAGGTCTCTATCAGGTCCCTCTCCTTGGGGACTGGGAAAACCAGAGGAAAAGAGTGAGGAAAGGCTGCAGGGGTCAAAGGGCATGGAGAGCACCAGGACGGCGTGGCCCACCTAATCAACTAAGCGGGGCCCATATGTGCTCACAGAGACAAGCACATGGCCTGCATTGGAATGCACCGGGTCCTCTGTGAATATTTTATGGTTTTGTTTTTTGTTTAATTTTGTGGAACTCACAAGTGTGGGAGTGTGTGCATTTCTGACTCTTTCGCCTGTTCTTGGGACTCTTTTCCTCCTACTGGGTTGCCTTACATAGCCTTGATATAAGGAATTTTGCCTTGTCTTATTGTATCTTGCTTGGTCTTGTTTGGCTGTTGTCTCTTGGAGGCCTGTTTTTTTTGTTTTGTTTTTTTGTTTTTGTTTTTTCTGAAGAGGAAACGGAATGCATCTGTGGGACAGAGGAGGTGGAGGGGAACTGGGAGGAGTGGAGGGAGGGGAAACTGTGAATGTATTGTAGGAGAGAAAAATCTGTTTAAAACAAACAACAAAAGCAAAACACTAAAAGCTAGACAACACAGGCCCCTCACTGAAGATTGATTACCTTAAGTATGGCCCTTCTCCGACTCCTACTGATCTCTGTGTCTTTCATTAAGAGTGCTATTGTTTTTATATCATAAATCTATGTTAAGTTTTGGAATTTGGCAGTAAAAGCCCATATTATCTGATTCCTTTTTCAAGATGTTTTGTATTTTCCAGGTCCTCTGAATTTTCATTTCATTGAAAAACCATCTTACCTATTTCTTAAACAAAATCTAAGATTGGGTTTTTAAAAAGTCGAGGTTTAACTTAAACCCAGTGACATGCGTGGATCTTCAAGGCGTATTTCAATCAACTTTAACAGCTATCACCATGTAAAGCACACTGCTGTTGAGGCATTTCAATAACTCCTGAGAGCTTCATTGTATCTCTTCCTGAGTCATCCCTAACGCCACAGAAATAAGCACTGTTATGATTCCTATCCCTGAAGATTAGTTTCATCTGTTCCCAAAATCCCTGTAAAATGGAACCAAACAGTGTGAGGCCTTCTGAGAAAGGCTCTCTCTCCACATCTGTCTATCAGTGGTTTGTTCATTTTTGTAACAGTATCAATCCATTTTTTTATGAAAAAAAGATCTCAGTTTGTATTTCTTTTTCTTCATGGGGCACCTAGCCTGTTCCTAGTTTCTGGCAGTTATGAATAAAGTCACTATAGGTAGCTTTATTTTTGTGTGTGTGCATGCTTTCATTTCCTACAGGCGAATGCATACTAGTTGTATTGGTGACTTGAACTCTGGGTAAGCTGTGAAACTGTCAAAACACTTTGCAGAGTTTTAAAAAATGCCTATTTCTTCCAACTAGTCTAGAACCCATGCCCCTTTGGCGCCTCCCAATATTTTCACATGATGAATCCACAAAGGGATTCATTAGAGCAGGGTTCTCATGGTCTAACCAGACCTGGAAGTGTCATCACAGGAGTTTGCTTCATTTATCGCCAGGATTTTTCTTAATCCAATCAAGTTGACAATGAAAACGAGCTGGCAGTCATGGTTACCTCTCTGCTCTGTTGCACTTCTTTTCTAATCCCAACTCTTCCTATTTCCCCTCCCACACCCCTAATAGTTTCCACTTTATTTTCATTTCTTCCTCTACCCTAGATTACACATGTTAGAAAAAACTTAGAATGTTTGTCTTTGTAAGACTGGCTTGATTCATTTAACATGGTGATCTCTAGAGTCCGACCCTTTTTCCCACAAATGACATGTTTTTGTGGCTGATTAAAACTCCACTGTGAATATATACCAAGTTTTCTTTGTCTGTTTATTCACTGATGAGGCCCCAGGCAGGCTGAATAACTGGGCCATTGTGAGTGTCACCACAATACACATAGGTATGCATATGTCTCTGTAGTAACATGACTTGGATTATTTGGAACATATACCTAGGAATGTTCTCAACTTCAGTTTTTTTATGGTTGAGGATTCTATAGCTCACCCTTTTTTTCTGATATAAAGTCTTATTCTGCTGCCTAGGCTGTCCCCAGGCTCATGACAATCCCTCTGTCCTAGCTACCCAAGCATGTAGACATGAGCCATAGGCCTGGCTTTCCTAAGAAATCTTATGCAGCCCAACTACAGAGAAACAGCCTCATGGTTTTGTTCTGAGCAGCTTCATAGCTGTAGCTTTTATACTTAGGTCTGTGTAATGTGACACCACTTTCACTGCACCATGGGCCACTTGCTTGTTTGTAGACTTCTTAGGATTTCTACATATACTAATATTTAGTAAAGGCATTCCTAATGCCTGTAAGTCACTTGTTGGGCTAACATTCTCTTCATGACTTCTGTCTTTCACACTATCAGTCTTATTTGTTATTTAGTTCTTGCTTTCCCTCATTTTCTAGAAGATAAGTCTAATGATAACTTGATATCTAACAATGCTTCAGGCTAAACAGCAGCTAGTACTTGTTAATTGGTAATAACTAGTACAAGTCCAGCAATCTCACTGGAATTTATAATTCATTGCTATTGTAGAAATAATGGAGGAGTAATCATTATCACACCCTTCAGATGAGAAGAGGGAGGGTTGGACTGGAGAAGTGATTGACAGAACACTTCTGAGTTGTGGGCGATGATTTCCCCACCCTAAAGCACTGCACCTGCAGATTTTGTTACACTTCCTAGTTTGTGTATTTTTAGATTCATTTTTTATTATTTTTAAATTATGTGCGTGTGCATGTGTTGGTGTGGTGTGTGAACTTGTGCACATGAGTTCAGGTGACCATGGAGTCCAGAAGAGGGTGTTGGGTCCCTCTGGAGCTGGAGTTGCAGATGGCTGAGAGATAATTGTTGTGGGTGCTGGGGACTGAACTCAGATTCTTAGCCAGAACAGTGTACACTCTTAACTGATGAGTCATTCTCCAGGCCTCTGGACTTCCTATTTTATTCATTAAATCCAAAACAACTTCTCAGAGCTCCAGGGGAGAATAAAGGTTGCCCTCAACTGCTGAGCAAGGGCTTTGCTCTGTGAGCTCCTTTTCTTGAGTATGTGGCCTGGGCCCAGTGATTTGCCTCTAACAAGTAGGTTATGGCAAACATGATGGGGGGGTCATCTCCAGGACTGGACTACAAGAAGATTGTGGCTTCTGTCTTGGTGTCTTCGCTTTCTCACTCTGAGGAAGACAGATGCCTTATTTTAAACTGTTCCATGATGAGGCCCATGTGGCAAGAAGGATGTCTCCAGCCAGAAATCTGAGAAGACTGGAAGCCTGCCAGAAGCTGTTAGAGTGAACTTGGAAGCAGATCTGACCCGTCCAGCCTCGCAATGACAGCAGGCCTTGCCAATACCGGATTTCAGCCTTGTGAGACACCTCGAACCAAGTCATGGCTGCTTTCCCAGCCTCCGGGGATTGTGGGAAATAAATGTTACTGAGCTGCTGGGTTTGGGGGCAATTTGCTATTAACACTAGATAAGTCATACAAGTGGTATCTGATACAACCCTGATGGTAGCAGCAGTTTCCCCCTCCCATCCCTGGGGGATGTTGCCTCGTGCATCAGCCTGACTCTTGCTCCTTTCCAGGGACAGTACTTACTCTGGACTCCCACTTAGTCAGAAGCAGGGGGATTTTTTTTCCCACTGGGGACCTCTCCACCTTTCCTTTTCTTTGTGATAAATATTTCATTGGGTGTGGTGAGAAGAATGTTTCTGTCTTAAGTGCTATTAGAGCAGAGAATTCTAACACCCAGAATTCCAGACCAAAAGCATTTGGAGCTTTAGAAATGGCCATTTATATCCCAGCATACCTTTTATAAAAGCTTCTAGTACTTCAAACAGATGCAAGAGGCCCCACTTTGCCCCCTACATGGGGAAGCTCTCGTCCTTTGTGTTTTGTCCTTTTCCTTCTCTCTTGCATTTCCTGGCTGACTGTCCAGTCTCTTTTCCTGGGATCACTTGAGCTTTTTATCTCTTCTATAGGTTCTCAGTTTTCAGCTTCTCCCTTCCTCTTTTTTCAAGTTAGGAATCCACAGACAGCAAAAGAGAAGCCTGGAGCCTTCAGAGTGCTGTTCTGGCCGCTCCTGAGTGGTGCAGACAGTTGTGGCATCTCTGGGGTTGGTATGCTGGGATCTCCCTGAGAACAAGAGAAAGCCAAGATCTGAGATGTAAAGAGAGGTTACCGAGAACAAATCCTCTACATTTTAAAATTTTACCTCAAAATTCTCCCAAATGCCTCCTTTTCCCACTTGGAGAAATCTCATATTGGGGTGAGGACCCTGAATGTGATGTTTGCTGGACTCTTGTTACAGATCTGGTCAGGAGGAATTGTTTAAAAGATGTTCAAACAAGGTTCAAGCATGTATAGCATTTCCTGGGAGTGGCTTGGTGGACACGGCCCATCTATTGATCCATCCTCTAAGTCAGCCCTCAAACTCACAAAGTGGCCAGCAGGTCTAACCTGTGTACGGATGTTTGATGCGAATCAAGAGAGCACACTTTAAATATACACATATGCTCTCCGTGTGTTTGTGCACATATGTGCACCTACGTGCAGACACACACTTGCCTATGTCCTGACTGCTTCAGTTGAGCCTGCAAGCCAAGCTCAAGCTCAGTGTCATCTTCCTGGCATCTCACAATGAATGCCATTAGCTCTCTTGAAGAGCTGTCCACCTGGGAAGTGACATTTGCACTCCTTCCTAGCCCCCCTTTGAGCCCCTTGACTAGGTCCTTGCTCGGATGCCATCTGACTGTATCAGCTCATGGGAGCAGGGTCGATGCCAGTCTTGTTCATCAACGTGTCCCTCAGGCTTAGAACAATGCCTGCCTCACAATAAGCCCTCAGCAGTTACTTGTTAGATGCTAAATAAACGATTGAGGAACACATTGAATAAATAAGGATGAGCCTGGGGAGAATTTTTAGAGAATTTACTCTAAAATATAGCTGAGGATCATGTTCACTCACAGCATAGCACATTCTTACACAGACTCTTGGGAGAACAGACCTTTCTTTTTTTTTTGGTATCGGAATGAGAATAATTGTGTCTGTACTGAAATAAGTCACATTGCTTCAATCATGTGGACATAGGTTTTCCCTTTGGGCTTGTTTCTGGGAAAATAAAAAACCATGCTTGATCTCTATCTTGCAGCTGTGTGAGACTTAGTGGGCTCCTCTGGCTCACCCGTACTGTCCTGTGCTTTGTCTGGAAGCACTCTTCTTCCTTGACTTTTAACATTTTGCAAGTGTAGGGCTGGGGAGATAGTTCAGTCTGTAAGGCGTTGGCCATGCAAGAACGATAACCTGAGTTTGATCCCAGAACCCTATTCAAAGAGCAGCTGTGGTGGAACATGCTTGTAATCTCAGCAGCACTGGGGAGGTAGAGACAAGTGATCTCTGCTTAGTCAAGCAGGCTGTAGGCCAAGGAGAGACCCTTTCTCACAAGGAGCCTAAAAACAGCCTTGGTGCAGGGGATGGGGGAGCTTGGTCCTGCCTCAACTTGGTATGCCATACTTTGTTGACTCCTGCCCCTTTCTAAATGAAGGAGGAGTGGATGGAGGCGGGTAAGCAGGAGATGCTGGGAGGGAACAAGAAGAGAAGAGGGAGGGAGAACTGTGGTTGGTATGTAAAATAAATGAAAAAAAAAACAACAAACAAACCAAAAAAAAAAAAAAACCAGACAGAAGACAAGTGCTCAGTGACCCAAGGAGCATCACCTGAGATTGCCCTCTGGCCTCGGCATACACGCATTCACACATGCATGTGCACAGGTACCTGCATGTGTGAATGTTCTTTTGTGGATCTCCAGATGCTTCTACCAGTGAGGCCCCACCTCTCAAAGTTTCCAGGACTTCCCCTTAGTTACACCACCACCTGGGGACCTAGATTTGATCCACGAGCTTGTGGGCTTCTGACTTTTCAGATTCAAATCATGGCCTATGAATTTCCAGTTCCTCCGTCTGTGGTTTATTTGGTATTTCAGTCATCCTCCAAATCGTTTATGCTCCTGAGTGGCAGTGACTTTCCATACATTTCTTTTCTTACACTCATCTCTTTGCCTTATTTCCTTATTTTTCATCCTTTCAATCTTCATTCTTAGCTCTTAGTCCCCTACTTACACTGAATAGCTCCATCCCAAACATCTACTTTTGGGGTTCATATAACTCCTTTGATAGGAAACCGAGGAAAGATTACCGATCCCAGAAAAATCCTGTTCCCACTTTTTAGCTATCCCATTCCAAGTAGTCATTCTTGCTTACCCTCCAAGAATTCAGGAAGTTCAAAATTCCTGCTAGCTAGCGTCAGTGAGGTTCTAGCCGCACCCTTTCTGGAAGAACTGGATTTATTCCGCCCCATATCTGGGGCATACATTGCACATCCTGAAATTTGTGCCCCTGTCAGCAACGCTGATCAGAGTAAACAGTACCTCCTGGGATTCCTTTTCCTTATCAGTGTATTAACAAAAGCATTGCACGGTAAAGAAGCTTGGGAGAAGGAGTTCCATCAGTGGGAATTTGGGACTAGAATGGGTTGCAGATAGAAGTTTCAAGCAAGCAATCACTAGGGAAAGGTTAGAAAGCCAAGGCTATCCTAGATCTTCACCACATTTGGGATTCCATCACCAGGTGCTTTCTCCTGTCTGGGTGGGTGACAGCTTTCTCAGCATGTGTTATATCCTAATCCTCTTTCTTGGGCTTGGGGACAAAGCTTGGCTGGTAGAGAGCCTGACTAGCGTGCATAAGCCTTGAGTTTAATTCTTAGCACCATATACAATTGGGCATGGTAGTGGATGCTGGTACCTGTAATCCAAGCACTCAGGAGGGGGAGGCAGGAGGCTATCAAGATCCTTCTCTGCCATAGTGGGACTTTGAAGCCTGCTTGGGATACATGAGACTCTGTCTCAAAAAAAAAAAAAAAAAAGTAAAGCAAAAATTCCAAAACGGACTGGAGACATAGCTCAGCAGTTAAAAGCACTTGCTGTTCTTGCAGAGGACCTGAGTTTGCTTCCCAGGATCCACTTTGGGTGGCTCACAACAGACTCTAACTCCAGCTTCTTGCCTCTCTGGTCACCTGTACTTGTGGGCATATTACCCATCCACTCTTCCACCACACTACATAACACATGATTAAAAAATAATAAAATCAAAAAATACTAAAATCTCTAAAAGTCTCCATAGCTTTTTATAAGTCTTCCTCTGCTGTCCACTGGGGCCCTTCATGCCTCAGAGGAAGACAGGCCAGTGAGTCATCCGAGTAGCTTAGTTAAACCTGACACAGAGACAGAGACTCAAAGACAAGACAAGAAAAGAAAATGATTCAGAAAGGAAGGGAGAAAAAATTACAATTAGCCTCAGGTTGCTAAATCTCGATTAGACCCCTGCTGTTCTGTTGTTCTGTAGCCAACTTAGATTACCCAGAGACAATGCTTAAAAGCCACTTTAACTAAATTAGCAACCATGGAAAAGCGTCACTAGGAATATATATTTGCCTGCTCCTTCCCCTGAACAATTTCTGTCAAGAAATCCCATGAAAAATTGAGGTCAAAAAAGACTGATGAGGAGCAAAGATGTTTTTAGCAAGACATCAAATATTTGATGTAGCTCAGTGTGAACGAATGATGCTTAATTAATTGTTCCTCTAACTAGGGCAACTGTCTTGGTTTATACCTGTGCTCACGTTACAATGATTAGCAACATCCCTCTTACTGTTCAAAGTGTTCCATCCTGAGAAATGATCGGAGAAGCCATCCCATCGTCAACTTCTGGCCTCAACACATGTCCACATGGGCAAACAAACTCACATATGTGTATATACATGCACAAACCACATATACATGCACAGACACAAATGGAAAACACATTCCAACAGGGATAATGAATTATATGATCACTCAGAAATGGGGAGATATCTTAGTTGGTAGAGGGTTTGCTATGGGAACCTAAGGACCGGAGTTTGAGCTCCAGAACCCGTATTAAATAACAACAGCAAGGACAACAAATCACCAGGGATCTTAATATGTACTTGTAATCCCAGCAGTGGGAAGGTGGCGATGTGAATCCCTGGGGTTCACTCCCCAAACAGCCTTGCCTGCTCCGTGAACTCCAGGCCAGAGAGAGGCCGTGTCTGAGGAAAAATAGGAGGTGGTGTCACCAGAGGAACAACACATGTATACATGTGCACATTCATGTGAACGCACATGAAACAAACCCACCTGAACACACCCGCAAACATATGACCACTCTTGATTTATACAGAGAAAATTCAAATCTCCTGTAAGGTATAGGAGGTGATGTCATAGACATATCTTTTGTAAAGAGTGGTCCAAAGCTTTCAGACCTGGAAATGTGGACACTACTCGTGAAAGATGCCTTTATAGTAACACAAGGTTGTCCTCCCTCCTCTCAAATGGCTCCCTTCTACTTGCCCACCTTTCTGTCTTCTAGTCCTCATACGAAAGAAAATGTGCGACGTGGCTTTCTGTTTTATTTTGCTTAATAATGATGTGATCTCTAGTTCTACTTATTTTCCTAGAAATGACACGGTTTCCTCTTCCTCCTCCTCTTCCTGACTGTTTCAACCTATGTACAATAAAAAGATAGGACCACAGCCCTATCAGTTCCTGTGGCTGTCATTGGGTCACTACAACATGATCAGCTTAGAGTTCCTCATGTACTATGGCAGCTCCTGGAGCCTCACCAACCCCCGCTCCCCACCTCAGCTCAGGGAGATCTGGAGGAGGCGTGGCCCTTCATGAGACAGGCAGTTTTGCCTTCTGAGTGATATACTGGAGAGTCAGCTATAGTGTCTGAGAACCTGTACAGTTGACATGGAAACTGAGTGTTTAGTTCTTAAATCAGTGTCAGGTTCCTGCTGTGACCAGGACTGGTGTGGCATCCAGTCATGGCCATGTGCACTTGAACCCCTTGCCTGGCTCTGCTCAGCCCATAGCCCATTTTCCACCACTTCGATTGCTGTGTCTTAGAACTGGCACTGTGCCAGCATCCAGTTTTACTAGAAAGGCAAAGTCATTCTGCTGCCCAATGGTGGAACTAGGACAGTGGAGCCACGTCCTTTCTGACCCGAGAAGTTCAAATTAATTAATTCACTCACTGAGCAAATGTTTAGTGATGTCTCTG